TAAGAGTCATAAGACAAAGAACAAGTGTTAGCACCATGCCCTAGCCTTTAAGTGACTCATTAAACTCCTATATTTGATATAACATTTATTAATTATATTTATTCATCTTTTAATTTCAAAATTAAAAACCCAAGTGTTAAGATCACGCGTTACCCTTTATTCATATCATTTCTACCAACGCCTCCACAATGGGATTTTCCTACTTCACTTCATAAGGAAATGATCCTCCCTCGAAAATAGCATACTTATTATTATTGTTTTTTATTGAGTTTGTTTTAACGTTATTTTGAAATTTTTTTGATAAGCATAACACTATTTGATTTATCTATATAAGTTTATTGTTATTATAAATTGATTCTTCATGGGTTTTCTTGTTAGGAAACGATCAAACTCATGGCAACGGAAAACAAAAATTATAAAGCGCAGACCATTCCCATTGAACCAAGATCAGGCACAAAAACAGTTTATATGTTAATCAAAATCTGTAGTTTAGAGTTCATATACATGTTTGGAGGCTCTTTCAAGCTTGTCTCTGGCTGGGTTTGCTACCGATTCAAAATAGAATTGAACCAACGGTAATCCATACAAGAATAACCTGAAAGCTAAAAAAGGATTTGCTAGATCCTCTTTAGCTTCAAGAACCAAATCAAAATCAAGAATCAAGAAATTTTGGTTCAATGAAATAAAGGTGGCGTGAGACTTGGGAGAGGTGTGTGTTATTCTTTCTTTCATTGAAAAATGATTGAATGAATTCACATACCTTTAATTCACAAAACATTGCACTTATATAGTGCACATAAACTCTATTCCATCAAGGAATGGCCTGGGCTTCAACCCCAAAACAACCCCTATATCTATAATTTAATTAATTATATTTCCAATTAAACTCAATTAATATATTTATAGAAATACATTAACATTTAATTAATAATATAATCCATTTATATATATATATATATATATTATATATATATATATATATATATATAATATATATTATATATATATTATTATATATATATATATATCTCACTTATTTAATTTTAATATCAATTAAATATAGGCAAAACCTCAGCATTTATTGCATCGTGAGATTACCAAATACCCTTTCGCTCAAAAAGACGAAAATGCCCCTTGCACAAACTGATTCTTAAATTATCTTCTGTATGTGACCCGTATGCTCCTCATCATACCGGCAGTGTGTAGTATCGTGATTAACACCAATTATCGTCTCACTACACACAGACCAAGATTGGTCCCTAACAAGCATCATGGTCACTCGTATATTCGGATTCAGCGAAGCAGCTACCTGTCAACGATATGAACTGTACAATCAATCCTTTCATCATCTGTTATCTCATCGAGACTGAGGTACATAAATAGTGTCACCCTCTGTTACTCTCAATATGTATGTATTCAGTTATTAAACCAATGGCCGAAATATACTTAGATTGAGCATGCAACTCAATCCCACTATAACCACAGTTTTAGCGTCACTGCCATTTATTGAATTACGCCATGAGATAACTTCTCCCGTACCCAGGAGTGATGAATCCTTTGTCGATCCACCATAGTCTTGATACACTCCTTGATGCAGCTAATCACTACCGTATTACGGCTCTAAATAGAACTACGTTGGGCTATTGTCAAACTACACCAATCGGTGCACAACGCTCTAGTGATCTCAAGTCTAAAGATCACATGCACCACCATTTGTTAGAATTTATTCCACAACATTGGGGTTACCATCTATATGGAATCCTCTGTTGAATCAGTTCAGTGAACTTGCCTACAATAAGCACCCATGTGTGGCACCAGGTTGTCACTCACAACCTTGACAATGAGATCTGCCACTACCTTTCGACATGGTCATTCAACACTATGATAACCTACCATATTACTGTGTCCTTGTCAAAATAACTAGGGCTATGGACTTTTCTAGAATGACCACCAAATGCATCCCTACTCCTAGTTCTCGTGGTCATCAATAGGGAGCTGTGGTTTCTTTGGGAGCTCTAGAGGGCTGAGACAAGGGGATCCGTTATCCCCTTACTTGTTTGTTATTGCTATGGAGGTTCTCTCGAGGCTCTTGAATAGAGTGGCAGCTAATCCGAACTTTAGTTTTCATTGGAATGCAAGAAAATAGGGCTGACTCACTTTGTTTTGCGGACGATCTCATGCTTTTTGTGAAAGCCGAAGGTACTTCCTATCTCTCCTTAAGAATGCTTTAATTACCTTTGAAAGTTGGTCAGATTGAGTGCTAATCCCGATAAGAGCAATATCTTCCTTTCTGGTGTGAATCACAATGAAAGATGGAACTCTTAAGTTTGATAGGTTTTTCCAGGCTACTCTTCCCATAAAATACTTATGGTACCCCTTATTACCTCTAAGTTAACCTTTGGGATTGCCAACCCCCTTGGATAAAATCTTGGCTCGGTTACCACTTGGAGAATAGGTTTTTATCCATGCGGGGAGGATTATTTTGATTAGTCGATTCTTTGGAGTATCCAGATTTATTGGTCGTCTCTCTTTATTCTTCCTTCCAAATTTCAAAGGAAATTGATGCTAGGTTGAGAGCTTTTCTTGGTCCGGAGTTGATATGAATAGACACAAAGCAAGATATCTTGAGAGGAGGTATGTGTACCCAAAATAGAGGCGGGCTTGGTTTTATGAAATGTGGATGGAACCTCGCCGCTTCTTTAAGACATATTTGGAACCTGTGCAATCATAAACCATACTTTGTGGGTCTCTTGGTCCAATTCATCTTTTGAGGAATAGAAGCATTTCGGACATAAGCATTCCCCAAATTGTACATGGTCATGGAGACATATCCTAAAAAATAGGGAAATGGCTAGAAGAATATCAAATGTCGCATTGGCAATGAACCCCACCTCTCTTTGGTTTGATAACTGCACCCGAACGGGCCCCTTGTTTCCTTCTACGGGAAAAGATTATTTATGATGCAGGGATTGCTAAGGATGCTAAGGTAGTTCTATAATTGATGTGCAATTGGAAGTGGCCAAGTGCCAATTCTTGGGCTCTTATTAATATGAGGATCTATGAATTTCACATCTTCCAATGTTGACGACAGATTTGTTGGATACCCTCACCTTCGGGGATTTCTCTACCAATCTTGGAGGCTATTAGAGGAACAAGAGCAAAAGTTGACTGGTGTGCTTGGTTTGGTTCTCAAAGCTATCCCAAGATACTCTATGATCTTATGGATGGCTATAAGAAGAATTCACCTACAAGGAAAGGTTGATGAGGTATGGGGCTACTAATGCTCAGTGTTCCTTTGTAACTCATCTATGGAATCTCTTGATCACTTATTTTTTGCATGCCTTTTTCTAAGTCTATTTGGAGTAAGATCCTTATGCTTGCTAACCTTGGCTATTGGTTAGACCCTGGCATGATTACATCCCCTATTTGGCAAGGAAATGGAAAGGTAAGAGCTTAAAATTCACTTTGGGTAGGCTTTGTTTAGGGCTACGGTTTATTGATTTGGAGGGACGCAAGTCACGAATTTTTAGGGTGACTATAAGGATTCCTTCCACCATAATTGATGTTATCAAAAGTGTTGTGAGAGACAAAGCCTGGAACTTAGAATATCAAAGTATCCTATAGCAATGGGAAGTGGCGAATGATTGGGCCTCCCCAGATCTATTTTCAAAGATGTTCCTCAAGTTCCCGACACCGTTTGAAGACTGGATTACGGAGGGTTACACATATGGTTTTTCTTGTTGTTTCTATCTATCATTTGTAGCGAGTTTGATATCGTGGTTTTCTTTTAATGATCCTAACCTAGGAGGTGTCCTATGGTAGTTGGAATTGTTGTTGTTCTCCTTGCTTTCTTCGTGTTTTTGGTTTAAGATTACCCCTAGAGTGAATGGCCGTTTGTAGGCTTGTTTTCTTTGATTCCTATTTTGGAGCATGTCCCAAAATAGGCTGGTCGCCCTTTATCAGGCCTTTGTACATTCTTCTCTTTTTTTTTTTTTAATATTATTACTTACTTAACAAAAAAAAAGTTTCTCACTATCAAGATTAAAAACACTTGTACCCTCGTCACGGTTCTACCATTCTAGAACATATATCAATACGTATAGATGTATTTACACGATATAGAATAAAAATACTTTTATTGATCAATAAACATTATTACAGAGAGTCAATTCACATAATTTATTATTCTAAAACACTTCTCTAACATTTCTTGGTGTGTGTACTTTTGTTTCATGCTCATGAAATTTATATGTTTAAATTATTCATTAATTATGTTGATGTTTGAGAGTAAAATTTGTCTCAAGTAATTTAGTATGCGATTACAGCATTTCAATGTTTTTTCCTTGTCACAGTTGAGAACCTATGAGCACTAATTGATGGAGAGGGTCTGTGTTGCTCTATGCAAGGAACAATAGAGATAGGCCTAAACATGGTCAATTTGTGCATTACTTACTGTTTCTTATCAATTGATTCGATTTTAAAATATTTAATTCAATGGGAGTTTTACAAAAACATAAAGAAAATAAGAAAAGTAAATATTTAGGTATAAATATAACAATGACGACCACCATTATCTCCACGACATCTTATGCCCTCTTGGCTATTGTGAATGAATTTAGAGAACATGAAGACTGAAAACTAGATTGATATTACAAACAAAGCATTCCATAAAACAAATGTAACTTTCATATCACAAGAAACATATCCATCTCACTAACATTACTCGTACAATAAAATACCAACATCCTAATCAAACAATCAATAAAATGACGGTAACATTTTAACCTGTATAAGTTCTCTCAAACATTGGAAAAAAAAAAATAATAATATAGAGAGAAAACTTCACATTTTTTTAGCAAAATTTCCGATTATGCTTATCGGCTGTCCCTTAAAATAAGCAGCACCGCCAAATTCTCATGTGTAATTTAAGTTTCTTATACTGTAAATCCATCAAGACAAGGCCTAAAAATAGAACAAATTCATCAGCCTTTCTCAATATCTCAGTCTCCTCCACTTTCTATTAGAACTTTATAAACATACCCAATCAAAACTCGTCTTGGCAAGCGCATTTTAACCTGTATCATAAACAAACTAATTATTAGTCATATAAGAAAATCTATAACCCCAACAGAAAATCAAATCAAATATTGTTAAATATGAACCCAAAAGAAAATCTAAGAGACATAATTTGAATATATATTTGTCATCATAACTTTGTCAAGTCGATGTACAAAAACAGTGTCCCACTTTGAAGAGGTGATTATAGCCAAAGCCCAATCCCTACTCCAGATGATTATGTTATTATGTGCATTATACTTTGGTGGGACACAGATTCTTGATGTTTAAATGAACTAAACAGCTCGCCAAGGCTAGATGCATATTGCATACCTTCCAAAAACCATTTCTTCACTTCACTCACTGGAAACATTGTCATGCTTCTCATAAGCTCGATTATTATTATGTGCTTCAAGATCCAGAAGTCTAGATTCTAGGCTCATGTAGAATCAAGAAAGCATAACTTTTATCGCTAGGCCAGATGCAGACACATTTATATGCCTTATATCAAAACAAATTATGACATAAGAATAATCAATTATAGAGCACATACAAGCCTAGTGACTCAAGAAAATCTCAAAATGGTTTGATTGAGAAAGCTTGTAAACTTGCCCAATTTGGCAGACGCAAATTCATGTCCTAAGTCAGAGGGTCTCTTACTTTTTGTTACCATATTTCGAATAATGCAACATGATAGCCATGTTAAAGGTTAATTAACCAACTGCTAAGCATCTCTACTTAAATAAACTCAAACCTTTAGTAAGACTGACTGTGTTCTGTACAATTGTTATTACCGCCTGGAACTATTATATCCCAACCTGGAGCCTCTGTGTTGGTGTTGTGTTGCTGATACTCTGTTGCTGGCTCTGCTGGTTTTGTTGTTCTAGGTGCTGCAGCTCATGCGCTGTTTCGCCCAATGTTAATCGCCAATGCGAGACTGCATCTGCCTACTTGTCCTCCATCTAAGGTATCCCAATAAGAGAATTTGTACTAATTCAAGTCCAAACCCAGTGAACAGAAAGGAGGACAAGAGAATCGGGTTCACATTTAGCTGCATGTTACAACATGTGAGAAACCAATTCCACCCCCCATCCCCTCACCCTCAAAAACATTAATTTCAGAACATTGAGCAAGCATTGAAATCATGCTATACAACCCAAGAAATACAAGAAATGCATGGATAAATTTAGTTTTGCTTACTACAGAGTAAAAGTTGAGCGAACAGGATCACAATTGCAAATGTGGAAGGAGCATAAGCCCATATGTAAGTCCTGCTCACTGCCACCATCAAAAGCCACATGCTTTTTAAGTAACTCTAATTATGAAACAAAGAATGCTCTATAATTTGCAAGCGAAAATGAGAAATTTACACAAATGAAAATAAGAAAACACAGAGCAAAGAACTTTTAATATATCTCGCATAGTACGAGTATTCTAGTAATTACATTATAACCCTAAATTGCAAAAGCAAACTTATAGGTTTTAACGACATTTAACTTTTGAAGCTTTAGCACTCATTATTTAAGCAGTTTTTTATTATATTTGAAGTATGATACTCAATGTAAATAGAGCCATATATTTGTATAATATGAATATAAATTGCCTTATCCCAATCTCTGCCTACGTTCTTCATTCTCTTGTTTCTAATTCATTGTCATCTTCTGTCTGGTAAAACTTTTCAGACTTACTATTACTTCAGCATTTAATGAGGTAGACTTGTTTCCTTACAAAACCTTTGAACCCTTAATTTTTTTTTTTTTTTTTTTTCTTCAATAAAAATCTTCTCAGTTCCTACACACAGAATCCTCCGTTTTGCCTGTGATGGGGGTTAACTTTGTGAATATCCAAATTGATCAGTTAACTCCATCAACGGGGACAAGGCTATTGTTTGTTGTCCACTAGCTCAGCACTGGATATAAATTTACACAGAAAGAACAAGTTGTTCACACAAGAAACCTTGTCCAATACTAAAACCCAAGCGTAATAAAGGTGTTGTCCACTTCAACTAACTGCTGCCCCATATTTAGATAAATAAAGAAATGCATTTCTCCAAACTCTATTCATAAGCACCACATCCTCACCTATGCAATCGTAAAAATCTCTGCCCCTCTAATCACCCCAAAGGTGGTTCCGAAGCCTACAAGCCAACAATCTCCTGACACAAGCTTTACAATCTCACTATGATTGAATGTGTAAATGAGGTAAAGCCTATGGCCTTTGACATGCACCTCGGGCATGTCATAAGCCCATTTATGTTGGAAAAGAGACCTTGTTGCATCTTGCTAAGAACCCTTCCACTACCATGACACTTCAGCGATTTGAACCCATGACTCCAGGCTCCTCTGCCACTATGTAGGAAGAGTCTTATCATAGAACATGAATCCTGTAGCTTTTCTGATAGGAACCCACCCAATAACTCAACATTTTGGCTAGGCATGATCTTTCAGGTGCTTGGGTAGAACTCTCCTTGGAAAACCGCTTGTCAAGGAGGGTCCCAAGCCTTTTAACCCATGCCCACCCTTTTCCCTTTCAATGTGGGATCCTAACATTCCACCACGCTTCCGCAACCGACTCCACGTCGGCCTCTTTACCCCTTGGGTGACTAGCGGATCCCCTTTCCCTCGGGCCTCCATGCCCTTTCTCGGGGTAACAGCCCGGCCCAAGTCAGCCACTCTAATAACTCAACAATTGGGCTGGGTCTGGTTTTTCATGGGCTTGGTAGGACTTTCCTTGGAAAACCCGGCTTGTCAAAGGAGGGTGCCCAAACCTTTATAACCCACATGCCCACCCTTTTTTCCTTTCAATGTGGGATCCTAACACTTTCTCATTTCTCCCAAAGGCCACGGTGTCTCTCAAGCAAAAAACCAAATAAACTATGTCAAGAACACTTTGAACCAAAATCTTAAGTTATTTGATGAGAACCAAACATCATTTTCAGGCTACCACGCTCTCTCACAAATAACTTGGACCCAATTTTAATGTCAAATATCCCCTCTTATGTGTAACATGGATTCGATGGTAAGGTCTAATAGATGTAGTGAGATTACCAAGCTAAACTGAGATAACTGAACAAAGATCAACCTGATTTGATTGAGTGAAAGAACATATACATAAGGGATTCAAAACACAGGCTTTTAGCTTTAATACTATTAAGTACACTACTTACTCAAAGTTTAGCTAATAGATAAAGCCCCAAAATATAATTTAAACTTAACATTGTAACACAAAAATTTGGTTTGTTTGCATTGCTTTGGTAGGTTCAGAATCTAATATGATTTTCACTCCCTCATGGCATTTTCCGAAGCAGCATTTAGGCCATTTGCATCATCTATAGTATTGTTGGAATTGATTAAGCTATAAGAAATTTTCCACCCTATGCATAAACAATTAATTTACTCATTGGAATGAATCTTTTTAGTGGGAAAGAAAATGAATCAAACCAAGAATAACTGTGTTTCAATTGTATTATTATTTGCTAAGATTGAGTTTAATATGGTTATTACCCTATTGATAAAAAATTTATATTCATGATTGGCTTTCTTTAAAGAAAGACTTATTTTCTAATAAATCCCTTCCTTCATTGTCCTTTGCACATTGTTGCAAGACACATTGTTTGAACACACTGTGAAATCCTCTACCGTTGAGTTAACTTTATCCTTATTTTGCTTTATCCTTAATTTCCATGATTGTCATATCTTGTAATTGTACCACCATGGCAATAGTTTGATATAATTAATTGTTATTTAGTTGATTAAATAATCAAATTGTAAATAGACTTACCTCCCTCTAGATCTATTCATCTTCAATATAACTTTCAATATGTTACTCATAATATTACAAAGTAATATAATAATTAAATTCTCGCTACTAATCTCCCTCCAAATTCTATATTCTCTTCCAATAATTTTTTCCTTATTATGACTCTTTTTCTCTCTTATTTCTTTCTGTCCTTCCGTTATCTCTCTTTCTTTCTCTCTCTTCCTTTTCGTCTTCTATTCTTTCTTTCCTTTTTTTCTTTTTCTCACCCTATATAATATTGTTCTTGCAAGATAAGAACCAAATTGAGGGAATCTCTTTCATCTCACTATTCTTGAATTCTCCTAAAACTCAAACTTTACACCCAATTAATCATGGTCCCAATATAAATAATCCACAGAACCATTTATCGTTTTCTCTCTCTTGGTCATAGCATAACTAAAAGAATGCCATAGATGACAAGTTTACCCACATTTGTACTACAACCTCTCAACCAATGGTTATTGTTGTAGATTGTTGTAAATAATCATGCAAATCTTACAGATATGCTGATTAAGTAAATAAATCTATAATAGGATATATGGATTGTAATCAATACAAATAGGAACAAATCTTAATAGATTAGATTTTTATTTCCTAATTATAGATTATTTTTTCTAGATTATTTCTTATTTTCCTATATATTGAGGTATCTTTGTCATGCATACATAAGAAAATTACAATCATTCTCTGTTTGTAACATGGTATCAGAGCAATACAAGCAATTCTAGGTTGTTTTTTTTTTTTTTTCAGTTGTTTTTTTTTTTTTCTCTTCTGCCCAAGTGAGCATTTTTTCGTGAGTCACCCTAGAGAGTGGCCATTTTTTTTTCTCACCGCCTGCCTAGGAAGAAGCCTTGTCTGCCGATCGCCATTCCCTGAAGTCCCGTCACCGGAAGAGTAGCGTGTGAGTCTCACCGCCACCCTTTTTCATCTGCGTCAGATCCACGCGCTGGCGCTTGTGGGCGTGTGACAGAGGAAAGTGCCCCGATCACCCTTCCCGGCTTCGTCTGTATTTCCGGCAAGTCTGTGTGTTATTTCCTCAGTGTTTCTCAGCCAGGTCAGAACAGTTTTGTTGATTTCTGTTGATATCAGTTTTGTTTCTGTTGATATAGAGTTCGTTCGTTGAGGAGTTTTTGTTGGCTATTTTCGTCTTCTTACTATGACTGATAGTCTATAATTGATATGGTTCCTGTAATGTCAAAAATTACGGAACAAAGCTTAATGGGTCTGATAACTATTTTGATTGGAGTAAGACAATTCGTCTTTATCTGCGAAGCTTGGTAAAAATGATCATCTCACCAAAGATTCATCTGAAGACGATTCAAAACAAACATGGTTGAGAAAGGATACCCGGTGGTTCTTGCAGATACGGAACTCCATCAACAGTGAGGTACTTTTGGTTTAATTAATCATTGTGAATATGTGAAGGAATTGATGGACTATCTAGATTTTTTGTATTCTGGGAAAGGGAATGTTCTCCGGTATTTTGATGTTGGCAAGCTTTTTATCGAGCTGAGAACAAGATAAGGTCTCTTATGGGCCTATTTAGTGGTTTTAAAAAGACATATGAAGAACTAAACTTCCTTTCTACCGGTGATTGTCTGATTGAAAGTTCAACAGCTCCACGAGAGAAAATGGCGATTATGAGTTTCCTATCTGGACTCCCTTCTAAGTTGAATCTGCTAAATCTCAGGTTCTTGCTAGTTCTGAGATCACCTCAACTCCCTCCAAGACATATTACTAGGGTTCTTTCTTCGTACATAAACACTCCATCTGTTCAATCGGTAGTGCTCTTGTAAGTCAGAATCATGAACACTGGGCGTTCATATAACGAGTCAAAAAGAGGAGGGATTCAATTATCGTGAGAATCGGGAGTCAGGAGTCAGGAGTTTGTGTGCTACTATTGTCATGAACCCGATCATACAAGCGCACGTGTAAAAGTGCAAAATAAGACCCAGAAACCTCAGTACAGCTCATGTTGCCGCTACTGATACTTCTGAGAAGATAGGTTATGGTTTCAGCTGATGAGTTTGCCAAGTTTTCTCTCAATATCAAGAACATTGAAGTCCTCATCACTCCATCACTGCTCTCCGGCCGAGTCAGGTAAACCAAAACATGTCTTATTCCCTCATCCTCCAAATGGGTCATTGATTCTGGTGCCACAGATCACTATGACAGGTATCCTAGTCTTCTTTTCATCATATCAGTCACTAATTCCTCGTCAATGTTACTTTAGCTGATGGGTCAACTTCTTTGTGTTCTTGGGTCTGGTCTGTTACCCCTACTACTCCGTTAATTTCCTCTCATCTTGTATTGAAGTCTACTACAACGAAAATCGCGTAAAGTTTCATTTAATTTTTCTGGGAGTAAACTCACTCGCGCTCTAACTGTTGCATCTCATTTTTCCCTTAACATTGCCTGTTTCATAGATCTTACGACGAGGCAGATTATTGGTAAGAGGACATGATCTAGAGGCTTACATC